AGAGCAGGAACTGAAAACGGCTGGGGGGGGGCGTGGGTCCTGTCGCTTTAAAATGAAGTTGAGAAATCTATTAAAAAAGGGGAAACACAACAGCCTTGTAAAAACCCCTTTGTTGCGGCATAGTAAGGGGAAAGCCAAAGTTATTTGTTTGAAAATGCGTTTTTCCCGGCCATTTTTTTGGATCTAGGTAGTCATGGCCTGGGTGACTTTGCCTGCACGCCTAAATAGCGTGAGCGGGTGGAGGGCAGGGAGCTGCTCTGCGAGGGTCTCTTTGGAAAGTGTCAGTCTGGTTTGAAAGCCAAATTGCTCATTCCTGCACCCCTGAGCCTGCTGCTCTGCTTTACTCTGGGGTGGAGGCTTCTATCAAGGTTGGAGCCAAGGTGACTTCATATTCCGTTCATGTTTTTCCCTGTAGATTTTGGCTTTTGCCCAAACTGACATTGCTTGCCAGCTGGGTATGAAAAACACTTCAGTTTCTTTTGGTTTGCCGTAGAGCTGGTTGATCCTATTGGAAGCAGGAATTTTGAGACAGTGGTGAGCTGCTTTGAAGGGGAGTTGGTGCTGATGTCAAGGAAGTATTTTCTCGTGGACAAAGCAAGGAGCGTAAGCCCTTTCCCGCTGACTGAGGAGGAAGTGCTCATGAGACAGTCATGAGATGAAGTGCTTTGCTCAAGATAATGGTTTCCATTCCTTGCGGAGAGTGGGCTGCAGGCACTGGCAGCCTAAGCAGGGTCCTCTTTCCAGCATAGTGCCTGTGTGAGTCTCCTTGCTCAGGTGAAAGGAGCAGGCCAGCTTGTGCTTTTTGATTAAATCTAATTCAGGGACACACGTTGCATCTCAGGGTGTCTCGCAGGATTTTGACAAGTGTAAAACTGAGAAATAGAGGAGTTCCAGCCTTAGGCCATCTTACACACCCAGTGGCCCTCATACCTTACCTCACGCGGCTTTGATGGTTGCTGTTTAAGAGATTACATTGCAACAGTTCAAACTGTTTGCTTAAGTGTAAATACCGCACCGTTGACAGCCTAGACAACACAGGGTAGGTGTGCCAAACCTGGGCAGACCCGAGTGTCTAAGCCAGATGATTCCCCGTGGCCTGGTGCTGGTGGAATCTGTGACCCTTCCTAGTGCTGTGAGTGTCTGTTTCCTCCGCCTTGCAGCGTGACCAAGGACGGGTGCTGGTGTCTCTCCTGTTCTGCAAATGGCTTCACTTGCTCATTTTTCCCTCTGCGGGATAAGTGATTAACAGTCACTCTCTTGGTCACCGCTCCTTGTGACCCTGATAAAGCTTTGACTCAATGTTATCTGTGGATCAAGTGATGCTGGGCTCTGGCTAGGGTCCTAGCGTGTCCTCAGAGCAGTGTGGGAGGACCGTTCACTACATTTTCACAGATTTTTCCACTGGGCTGACAGCAGAGTGATGAATTCTGGGCACACGGTACCTCAGAAAGTTGTATGTAGTGCTAATGCTTGAGCTGCTGATGGTTAAGACATGAGCCGGGTAGCTGTGGCCTCCTGTCAGGTGTCAAGCCTTAAGATAAACAAGAGTAGGAGGAGTTTGGCTAAGGTGAAATTCCACCTTTTGCAGTACAGTGCGGTGACCTTTTCTTGGGAGACAGTGAAGGTATTATAAGGTTTCCTCTTAGCAGTGTGCCAAAGCCCACAACTTGCTGTAGAAGCTCTGCTGATCAGCTCTTGAGCATGAGATCTGCTTGCTTTGCTAAGCCCAGGCTTTCACTTGTGCTGTTTCAGTGTCATGGAGCTGGACACTTCTGTGGTTAAAAAAAAAAAAAAGCCTAGAAGTTGGGTATCACTATTAAGGTCTTCTCACCATTTATTGGACATAAATTGCAGCAGCACCATCTTTATCACAAATTAAAGATGTTGTTATCCTTGGTTTAAAGATCTTGCAACTGTATATTTTTCTTAGTTTAAAATGTCAACTCTACATCATATTGGTGTTTCTGGTGGCATTCAGATTATCCCCGGGTATAAACTTGCAGTGCATTTCTGTGATGGACAAGAAGATGACAACACCATATATCTTAATGTTACCTCAGGTGCTTTGCCAGTAGCAGCCAATGGCCACACAACCAGTACCGAATCCCTCTTGTAGAGTTCTTACTAAACATAGAAGTGGTACAGAGCTGGGCCCCAAATCTGCAAACCTGAGACTCGTGATAGGAATGAAACTTTGAGAACTTTATGTAAGATATTTCTGATCTTCTGAGGAAGTACCTGACTTGTGACTTGCTTTCTTTCAGCTTATAAGACGGTATCGGGTGTGAATGGTCCCCTGGTTATCTTGGATCAAGTTAAGGTAAAGTGTCAGATTCTTAACAAATGAAGCTTTTTGAGGAGGAATTTCCAAGAAAAGCTGTGACAGGTTAAATTCAGACTGTCCTGAAATTCGTGGCTCCACTGAGAAGATGTTTCTGACGGCTGAGATAAATGAGAGTACCTGAATTCCTGTAAAGCTAAGGAGAGTTTCCTTCATGTCCTAGAAGAAAGGGAGAGTTGTTGAGGCTGTTGGGGGAAAGAACAGAAACAGTGTTTCAGTTTTACCAAAATCCCCCCAATGTTGTCTAAACTTGAGTGCAGAAATTTACCTATTCGCTTTGTTCCTGACCTTTTTGTTACCAAAGCCTAAGTGCCCTGTGAAAGGGAACTGTGAACAGTTTTGGCTTGTTTTCAAATGACTGGCAAGCTACGGTTGAAGGCAAGCAACTCATATTATGTACAGGCAGGAGCCAGCTTTTTCTTACTGTCAGATGCGGTGTTGTGGTTTTCTGTTAGTGTTTTGGGGCTGCTAGGGCTTTTAGAATGGTTTCTGTCAGGTCTTTCTGCAGCCTACAACTCTGAGCAAACGTTGTATAGTGCCTGCAAAAATGGCTTTAGCCTGGTGAATTTTAATTGTCTTAGAATGAGTTTTGTCCTGATGATAAAATTATTTTTAAAAATGGTTGAGTAGTTGCTAAGCTTAAGCTTGCTTGAAACTCTTAACATCAGTTTCGTGACTGTTCTGGATTTTAATGCTTTCCACCATCTTTCTTGCTCATCTGCAGTTTCCTAGGTACGCAGAAATTGTTCACTTGACTCTTCCTGATGGCACAAGAAGAAGTGGGCAGGTTCTGGAAGTCAGTGGCTCCAAAGCTGTGGTTCAGGTATGATTAGGGACAGGAGTGTCTCTTGTTGCAACAGAAGAACACTTGATTAATCAACGTGTGTCTGAGCTGTGTCAATCTGTCTTTTGATATGTTCTTTTGGTACTGTAAATGGGAAAAAAAAAATTACCTACTTATCCCAAGTGCAAGTAGCATGAACAATTTTAGAAGATTAAAAACTGGAGTACAGGGATGTTTTTTATTTGCATCCCCCATGGAATTCTTTGCTGCTAGATTAAAGGAATTGTACTGTAATTGTACAGTATTAGATTCAAGATCAGCTCCTATGGTATGTGGATGCAGGTATTTCTTTAAGCAGCTGTTTCTTGTTAATATTAATTATTCTTCTCTGAAGAACTTTACCCTGTTGGCAAAGGGAAATACTTGAGATCAAAGGAATGGCACCGGGTTTGTTGTTTGCTGCTGATACACTTCATGAATTTTGTTTGAAGTAGGTTTTTATGTGATGTTTTGTACTAGCAAGCTGCTCTTGGAATCCTTTGCTTGCAGAGGGACTGCCTTGCTTTTCTGCCCCGTGGCTGATCAAGTTCTCAAGCTGTGAAGCAGCATTGTAGTGTAGTATTTTGTAAAGCACAACGCTTACTCCTTTCTCCTGTGAGTGTGTTTTCTTTTGGTATATTTACAGGTATTTGAAGGAACTTCGGGCATTGATGCTAAGAAAACATCTTGTGAGTTTACCGGGGATATTCTTCGAACCCCTGTCTCTGAGGATATGCTTGGTAAGTACTTGCATCTTGCTTTGAGGAGTGAACAGACTTATTCCATGCCGACTTATTTTCACAGTAACTTACATTTTGATTTTATTGCTGTTTCTTGTAGGCAGAGTATTTAATGGATCAGGAAAACCTATAGACAGAGGCCCCATTGTTTTGGCTGAAGATTTCCTTGACATAATGGGTATGTTTTTAATCCATTTCTGGTATGGAGTTAAATACAAATCTGGTATTTCTGAATGTTGCCATAGTTTCGGTTTTTAACATAGGATCTAACTGCTAGGGGGAGTTTAATCTTGTTGTTAAGTGTGTGTGTGGCACCAAACTCAAATGAAATTTATACAAGTGCAGGATGATGAGGTAGCAGAAAATAACTGCTTTCAGTAATGATTGGAAGCTGTTCTTCAAAGTGTTTGTAGACTGTTTTAATTATATAGCCTCCAAAGATAAAAAGCTAATAACCTGAGAGGCTTTTTTTGAAAGCAGCCTTATCATTTACATGACACAGGATGCCAGAGTCTTGGGTGCAAAAGGCTCAGGCTTGACCAGGCACATTTGAAGATTTGTAGGTCTAACAGTGGGGTTTGCACCTTTTGACACAAGCCTTAGATCAGCGCTCAAGGTCACTGGTAGTTTGATCAAGCTTTGGGTATGTATGTGGAATGACGTGTGTTCTCTTAAAAAATATAACAGGTCAGCCAATCAATCCCCAGTGTCGTATCTATCCAGAAGAAATGATTCAGACTGGCATTTCTGCTATAGATGGTATGAACAGTATTGCCAGGGGGCAGAAAATCCCCATATTCTCAGCTGCTGGCTTGCCCCACAATGAGGTGAGTACTTAAAACTACTCTCTAAACAGCTAGTGGCTTGCATTTCATTGGGCTTAAAAAGTAAACCAAGTTAAATTCAGGTCTGTGTAATAGCATCAAATATACAGATGGACTGAAACATTTTTTTTTTTTTTTCCCCCCCCCCAGATTGCAGCTCAGCAATGTCGCCAAGCTGGCTTGGTGAAGAAATCCAAAGATGTGATGGACTACAGTGAAGAAAACTTTGCCATTGTGTTTGCTGCTATGGGTGTAAGTCAGTATTATTGGAAGAAAATGATGCTTGAGTAATAAATAAGCCAATGCTGAGAGTAGCTGGACATTTACTTTTTTGAACGTTTTGGGTATTTAACTAAACAGCGCTAAATTGGCTGGCTGAATGGCTGAAAATCCCAAATGGCCAGAAATACTGTAACAAAGTGTGTCTGAGCAGGATTAAGTATCTTAAACTTAAAATCTCTGGCCTGGAATTCTAGAAATAACTCATTCTGTTGGGAACGTAGGGGAGTCTTCATGATACAGAGAGTTTTGCTTATGGATTATTAATGAGGTGTTTAGACCTTAATGTGACGCAAAATGTAGTAGCTTAAAATCTGGTCTGGAACTGATGCCTTAATACTGTGATTTAGGTGAACATGGAAACGGCTCGGTTCTTCAAATCAGACTTTGAGGAAAATGGGTCCATGGACAATGTGTGTCTGTTCCTGAATTTGGCCAATGATCCAACGTAAGTAGTTACAGTGTGTTGGTTGGGAAAAGGCTGAGGAGAACAAGTAAACTGGAAGCTGAAGCCTCGCTGGTGTCCTGCCAGATGTCACTTAAGTTGACGTTTTTCAGCAGAGTTGAATATGAAATGCTGGTACTCCAGCTGGTGCATGCAGCAGATTTTTCAGAGGGTTTTAAAGTATTTGTAACTTCAAACTGTTACCTTGCAGCCTTAAAGCACTTGCCATAAATAATGCCATACTGTTCTCTTTCAGCATTGAACGCATTATCACACCTCGTCTAGCTCTAACAACAGCGGAGTTCCTGGCATATCAGTGCGAGAAGCACGTGTTGGTCATTCTGACAGACATGAGCTCCTATGCTGAAGCTCTGCGAGAGGTACGCCTTTCTTAGCTTGCATGCTGGGTGTTGGCAGAAATGGTTCGTAGCATAAAGTGAGAACATAAACTTCTGCTCAGGCTGTTACAGTTAATATTCATTACAATGCTCTTAAATAGCCAGTGAGGCTTTTAGTTACTGATTGTCTAGGATTATGTTCAGCAAACAGCTACTGCTTCTGTGATAGCTAAATTTATTTGACTAGTGGCATTCAGCAGTTTGATGCTATAGTTTCTGATTTGCCTTGGCATCTTGTCTGGTCATATATGGTTGTGGTGACGTATTTCTCTTAATAGAGGTTTGTGGGGCTGTATTTTGTTATCACCTGCAGGAAGAGGTACTTTAAGTCACTAGTGTAGCTTAATTAGGGGAGACAGCAGCTCTGTGTGCGTGATCCGATTTCTTGAAAGCATTTTTCTGGATTGCCTCAGGTTTCGGCAGCTAGAGAGGAAGTGCCTGGCCGTCGTGGTTTCCCAGGTTACATGTACACTGACTTGGCTACTATATATGAGCGTGCTGGGCGTGTGGAAGGCAGAAATGGTTCCATTACTCAAATTCCTATTCTTACCATGCCCAATGATGGTGAGTTATTTTCAAGTGTTTTTAATAAATGGCACTTCAAAGGACTCCTTCAGAGCAACCCGTCTTATTTTGGACACACAGTGAGATAGGAGGTCCTGTGGCCTTTAGGTTTCTGTTTGAATATTGCAGTTCTCAGCTGCCTTCTCTGTTTATATTGCTAACAGAAGTGCTTTGCCTACTCTGGACTTCAGGACCATTCTCCAGCCCTCTATCAGGAGTGCTTACAGCTCTAAGCCTTGCACAAGAGCACTTAGTGATATGTGGGGATACCAACTGATGTAGAAGTCATTTAACTGCAAAAAGCTGCTCCGTCCGTGCTAGAATGGATGGAAAAGCTCTGAAAACTGTCAAACCCTTTTTTTTCTGCAGATATTACTCATCCTATCCCTGACTTGACTGGATACATCACTGAGGGACAGATCTATGTGGATAGGCAGCTGCATAACAGGCAGGTGTGTACCACGCCGGTTAGAACGTATTTAAGATTACTCTCTGCTTTTTCTTTTTGAAGTATTAATGTTTAAATTCTTGGATGTTTCTTTCCTCCAGATTTACCCGCCTATTAATGTCTTGCCCTCCTTGTCTCGACTGATGAAGTCAGCTATTGGAGAGGGTATGACCAGGAAGGATCATGCAGATGTGTCCAACCAACTGGTATGTCAAAACCTCTCCAGAGAAGCAGAGGCATATTTCAGATATACTTCTTGCTAAACAGCCTGTAAAGGGTGTGCCAAGCAGTTGCAATCCAGAGCACTCCCGAGGCAGATTTCAAAGCACCGAGTGCTTAGTTTGGTCAGGCGAGACCCTTTGTTTGGGCTTGAACAGAAATCGTTACGTGGATGATCAAAATCAAAGCCCTTCTCTTTCTATCCCTTCTAGTACGCCTGCTATGCTATCGGAAAGGATGTACAGGCTATGAAGGCCGTAGTTGGTGAGGAAGCTCTTACCTCAGACGATCTTCTTTATCTGGAGTTTCTGCAGAAGTTTGAGAAGAACTTCATTGCTCAGGGTAAGTGTTTCAAGAACATCACAGTATGCATTAACACCTAGAAGGTCTTGTTCTCGCATCTCCCTGGTGGTGAGACGCTTCCCTGCCCCGTATTTCAGTCTCTGGCTGCTTTCTGCAGGTCCTTACGAAAATCGCACTGTTTACGAGACCTTGGACATTGGATGGCAGCTTTTGCGAATCTTCCCCAAGGAGATGTTGAAGAGAATTCCCCAGACAACGCTGGCTGAATTTTATCCTCGAGATTCGACTGCAAAACACTAGCCACAGCTTCATCTCTTAACTCCTTGCTCTGTGAAATGCTGTTTGTTTTCTTTTTTCATGTGTAGGTGTTTACTTGTCGCCCTTACAATTAAAACCAAGAGTAGGTGACATTCGTGCCAGTGTTCCAATGTACACTGATACCAGTTTTTAAAATATCCCTTCTTCCAAAGCCTGGATCTTCAGGAAAATACTTAGGCCAGCTCTTACAAATGTGCAATAGCTATCACGAAGCTTGTTTGGTTTTTTTTGAACTGGACCTTTTGTAGACATTTCAAGGGAATGTCTGAGGATTACCAGAAATTGCAAATCTTTACTTTCAAACCAGGAGCACGTGATTTAGAAAACATGAAAGAGCAAATGTGACTTCTTTTGTCCAAAGCATCTGCTCGGTCTGCTCATAGGCAGTTGCCGTGCTGCTGGTGGAACAGATGGCACTCTGCTGTCCTGCTGTTGTGCCTGAGGACCAGGCTGACGTGTGGAAAGCGTGGTACATGACAACATACCTTTCTGAAAAATGCAAGTCACTGATTGTCAGCTGTGGCTTAAGATTCTCAAAGGTATGCGTGAACTGAGGACCCTGTAGGTGCTTTTCCACTAGCAAAGGGTCTTTGCAGAGGTCACAGGCCAGTGGGTTGCTACCTGAAGGTAGCATGATAAGGCTTAATTACTGAATTAAAGCATTTACATTGAAGTTTGCAGAGTAAGTTTCCTACTTACCCTTTTTTTTTTCCTTGGAATTCTGGAAATGCCAGACACACAAAACAGCAGCTAAAGCATTCTGAGATCAGTAGTGCCCCCATGGGCAGAACTGTAGGTAATTCACGCCTTTGTGCTGCTACTGAAGGGGATTGATTATATGAGATGTGAAAAAACTCTTATACCTGACACAGTTGTACTGGTGGGAGGTCAGCTTTTGAAGTATGTCTTGTACTAAACGATGCAACAGGAGACAGCAACTTAATGTGCGAATGGATATTTTGAATTCTGTTATGAAGCATGCTCTAGGTGGCACTGGGTCCCGAGTCGTGTTTGACACTGTTGTGGTTTGCGCTCCAGGCACAGATTTGGCTAGCCAGGAGAGCTCAGCATTCCCAAACACTGCAAACTTGGCTAGTCAACTCGGTGGTGTTTTTTTCAAAGTGGTTCAGATGAGGCTCCGAGCCCAGTGCTGGCAGGCTTTCTTGCTTTTTTTCCAGGCTTAATGTAGTCTAAGCTCTGGTCTAGCTAACCAAAGCATGTTGCACCTCTCTGAACGCCTTCGGTGCTTGTCTAGGAAGGTGCTAACATGACTCGAATGATAGCGTGCTAATTCCAGCTTTCCCTGACGTCTCCTATGTGCAGTTCTTTCTATAGTTTGTTCAGTGTTCTCTGTAACTTGGATGCAATAGCAACTTTATTCCAGTGCATTCCACCCTAAAGCTGTGTCAAGTCTATTTTTCTTGAGGTAGGGATGGGAGGTTGGAAGTGTTGGCATGAGAATACTTTAATGTAGAGAATATCTAAATAAATTAAATATGGAAGGTGTTGAACAAAATGGGAGCTTTTGTGATTCTGTGGTTGAAAACAACTTCAGGTCTTTCAGCAGTGGCGAAGACATCCTTTGCCGCTGGGGACCTGGCTTACACGACTGAAACTATTTCATAATGTGCTGAAAACACCTTTCACTTCCATTTCTGTGTGTGCAGTGAGGGCCACTTGAGCCACCCCCACATTATTGCTAGAGCTGTTGCTTTTGCTGGTCAGGATTTGGCCTTCAGGACTGAGCGCTTTGTGCCAGTGGGGTGGGTGGGTGGTGCAGTCGGGGGGTAAAGGCTGTGCAGGAATGTTGTACCGCTGCTTCCACGTGGGTCTCGAGGGGCATTTTGTGCTAGAGGAGGCTTGGAAACCTTAAAAGGCTTCTTGAAAGTGAGCTCAGGCATACGTTGGCTTTACGTGTTGTGTGTGGGCAGTGCTGCGAAGGGCGAGGGGGGCCTGGGTGGGTTTATCCAGGGGTTCTGTGCAGACAGCCTGGGGCATGGCGCTGCTTAAACCCCTGGGGCCAGTCCCTCTCTGTGAATGAGCTGTTGTAAGGTTTCCCCGCTGGGGGTTGTGCTGAAGGTGAGAGGCTGAGAATGGTGTGAAACGGGGAGATCCGGGGTTCTTCCCGCTGTACTCCAGAGAGCGGAGGTAACCCCAAACGTACCGTCCTCCGCTGAACAGCGGGCACATCGGAATGGGTCCCGTAAGGAGGGAAGACGGCGCCTTTCCTTTCTGCTGATTTTGCTATTCATCTTTAAAGGTTGGGCCCTGATGTGCTGGGCTGCACCTGCAGTCTCTAAACCAGAGTTTGTTCCGACTGCAAAAAGCCTGAGGCTGCCTCAGGTCATATCCTATTAAATGTTGTACTGTGCTATAACCCGAGCTGTCCCTTGTACAGAAGTACAAGTCCTTGAGGTAGATAAAGATATTAGCTCCTCTTTAATTTTTTTTTTACATCTCATTTAAATGTCCAAGCTGGCTCCTGCAGTATGCTTTTCACCAGGAGAGACACCAAATCACAAATCCCATGTCCTCAGTGTTAGTAATGGCCTTGCTTGTCCCACGGGGCTTGAAAGACTCATTTAATGTGAAGGAAGGAGGATCTAGGATGCTAAAAACATCTCTGATGCCTTAGAAGTGTTTGTCCCAACTTTTTTTTGACTACCTCCACCCATTTGCCACCTCAGTTGTAGTCACTTGGTCTTGAGGGAGAGCCTGGTGTTAGGGCACAGGAATAACTTCATGGATAGACGGCAGCCGTTGGTGCTCAGTAATGCAGGTTTTGAAAACATGAGTAAGAGAAAAAATTCCAAAGTCCGGTGAATTCCTGAAGTCCTTCAGTGGGTGCCAGGGTTTGGGGACAAAGGTTGAAGAAGCATTCCCGAGGGTGGGAGAGTGCTGCGGAGTGAGGCAAGATAGCTGCAAGCATCTGCACGTGGATAACGCAGCTCCTGAAATGTGTGTACATACAGAGCAAAGCAAAAGGAATTCTGCAATTAGAAGAATATTCACGGCAATTAAGCTCTACTAATTTGCAGCTGGTGGGAGCAAAGGGGAAAGAACGCGATGTATTCTGTGGCTCAGGGCAGGCTGGTGAGCGGCTCTGACGCACGGGCGAGCCGTCGATGATAGCATGGCTCATCCGGGCCAGACGAAGGTTTGGGTGGAATATAAAATAGCCAGGGTGGCTTTGTGCCGGGGATAAAATAGCTGTTGTCTGCAGCGCACGGGAGCTGCGTGCT